AGAAAGAAAACCTGAAGAATGTCTTTGCTTTGATGGACAGGATAGATTGGAGGAAAGAATTCACCATCGAACGAGAAAAGGTAGGTGGTTTACATTTTCTTGATGTCCTAGTTAGCAGAGAGGTGAGCAGATTAGGTAGAAATGTGTATAGGAAACTCATAGATGAAAGTTTACTTTAGAATTTAGTTTTCAATCACACTTATGGGAAGTGGAGCATCAGGTCTATTTATAAAGAGAAAACAACATTTTCTTCAGTAATGCCTTCTCTTCAAGAATATTTTGACCCTCTCTCCAGATCAGGCGCTAGTGTGTCTGTGGGAGAGATATGTAGACCCATACATAAGAGGTTATCTGAACACAAAGCAGCCTCAAGGGTCTTTGGGCCAAAAAATCAGGATTGGCTGAACAGGTGGCTCGTAGATAGATTAATCTAATGTCAAACGCTCAGCTGAATATGAAGACTATACCAGTAAGTGGAAAATTAGGGAGTTTAGAGTGAAAAATGAAAGAGTCAAAACATTGAATAAAAAGAATGAGTGTAAGAAGTCAAGTGGGAGCTACTTGTGGTTGTTGTATAGCATCCGAGAGTGAGGGTGGAGTGAGAAGTACCATCAGGCAAGAGGAGGAGGCTTGACTAGGCTAGAATATAGTTTGGAATCTTAATTTACACTAATCCCCAGAGCGATGAACTCACACAGCACGTATGCAATGGAGTGCATTTACATGCGGTAGCATTGCCAGATCAAAGATATACGTGTTTTAGGGAAAGATAGAGCTGTTCGGTCACAAAAGTATCTATTTCACGGTTCATCTGCAGCCATTTTGGCGTTATCCATAACCATTTCAATTTTCAACAACATTTAAGAAAGCATAGGTGGTTCAACCAAATCATGATATATTTTTCACTAAGTTGGCGTAGTTAGGCCAACGAGGTAGGATTGCAGGTGAATCATCGTAAAGCATGATGACTTGCTGTGATGATGTACGTTCCATGAAGGACAAAATAAAAGCAAAGATTCATCAGGATTGGAGGGCTGTGCGCCGAGGAACAATTCACACAAATCTACAGCTATACCGACAAACGCAATCCCACTTCAACTTTTGGTGAGGCCAATTTAGGAATCTCTTCCACTCGCTTCTTCAAACGAAATGAAAGATACTCTCATATCAATCTCAAGAGTTTTATCTTGATTTTAAAATTTTTAATGACACACATATAAAAAAGTTGATGAGTTAGAAGAATTGACCTTTGGTGTTGCAGTTATCTTGTAGCAATGATCACATAGACAGCACTCTATTTCCGTTCTACGATCTGTCCTTTTTTGATGCTTTAGGCAAGATTAGCAAACAATTTCATAATGGCCATTTTAGAATTAACTGGAATTCTACACTTAGAAATATGAAATGAAAAATTATAAATACCAACTCCCTAATCTTTCAGCTTTGAATTTTATGCTTTACAAATCCAAATATTGGAGCTCACCTTGACTGCAGCGACTTGATTCTTGTAAGCATGTCCATGTGGCCTGCCGAGTATTGTTCAATCACATCTTTAACATCATAAGGTCTGAGAGCTTCTCTGAATTTGCGCCGTGCCACAAAAAAGCGTACTTTTCTTATAATTCGGATTGCAACCTTGTCTGATTCCGTTAGATGCTTGACAGCGGCTGTTGCTATCGTTCCGCTAGACTCCTCACCAAAGCACTTTGATCCAAACGCCCCACTTGCCGGAAATGAATTGCTAACGGCTGTAGTGACGGCGGCTTCTACTCTTCGTCTTATGCTATCCCCTATATAGCTACTACTATTGGTACCTATACCGCCTAAAGAATCAAGCCCTGAGCTAGGCGGAAGACGTTGGCTACGTGAACGTGAGAAACGGAAGCCACAACCTGAATAACCAGCGCCTCCACCAGGGCTTTCTGCGCTGACCACTCCGCCACGTCCCAAAACACCTTCATCGCTGTAGCCGCCAGCTAACCGATCACCTTCAATGTTATCTCCAACTTCGTAGTCTGCAAAAATCAAACCAATTATTAACTTAAAAATAAGCATTAAACTCGGATAATATGTATGAAGAGAGCTCATTACAAGTGTTCTCAGATGTGCCTTTTTACTTTAAATAAAAAAATTTAAGCCGAATGAGCTTTATCATAGGCCGTATACTGCTCTGAACGTGAAAAAATTAATTAATTATTTGTTTTCTACAGTGCTTGGTAGAAATCTATAAGCAGGCTGATTTGGCGAATGCTGAATAAAATATTTTCAAAAAATTGGGCAAATGTTTATTTGCTTTAGAAAATCGAGTTCTTCACAATGCTCTTGTAATAAGTGCCTAAATTTAATAGAAGTGGAAAAGCAAAATAAAGTGATAATTATTATCGTGGAAATAGATTCTATCACAGTCATCAAAACTAGTCAAGTAAATGAAAAGAGTGAGATTAATAAAGAAAAAATGAAGCATATTCATTGGTCATATAATGAAATTGGGTGATCTGCATAAATTTTAATTTTCATTCATCGACAGAATAAAAATAGGTCGATATTGAAAACTCCCTTAATTTTCTACATTCAACAATTTTTATAGCTAACGTTTATTCGTAGCTAAAAGATTATCTATAGGTTAAGTTTAAGACTGCTGATCATATTACATAGTAAATTATCCAAACTTTTATATTTAGCAACTGAAGTATCATATTTTAGCAGAATTATGCAATGTAAAAACACTTTCTTTCCCTTTTTCTAAAAACACGAGATTCTGCTACAAAAATTGGTTTCACAATAAAGAAATTGAATTTTATTATGGCTGGTAAAACAACAGAAGTTATGCAACTTAATATTTTTTCCTGATTTTAGAAGTATCTGGCCTTATTTTGTCAAACAATGACAAAAAGCCTTGCAAGCATGTAAAATAGGTGCTCGTATTTATATCTTGGGTCCTAAATATAAAGTTCGAAAAACGAACCATAGCAGTAGTCGACTAACAATACCTTAAACAGTATCCATTACACTAAGCATGCTCCATAAAAATGAGAATAGTCCATCGGACCATGCAAATTCTTTACTTTTATTATTTTTAATTTAGAACTATTCTGAATTATATTAAACTATGCATTTCGTATCATAGCTTATATCAGATGATAGTAAAGTCATGATAAGTTAATTGTTATTTCTCTTATATTCATAAACTAGGATAGTTTAAGGTAATTTTCTCTTTGTATTTAGTCCATTTCGAAAAGGTTTCTTTAAAATAACCATCCTTTGCTAATTTGCACTTCAAATATTATTAAGAGCTTATATTTATTTAGAGTTATTATAGCAGCTAAGTTCTTATTTAATGGTTTCATCTTTCATAACAAAAAGACTTTCTCCTCATTTACTATTCAGAAATATTGAAGCAATAACCTTCCTTAACAATCTGTAAGTAATTCGAAGTAAAAGAGATATTTAGAGATATTCTAAATATTTTTAAATTTTCCATTGCAGATATTTAACTGAAAAGCTCTTGCTGAGATAAATATTTCGAAACATCCTTTATGAACGTATCGGCATTCGTAGTGGGAGAGCAACTATTTGTGCTTGAAATACCTTGTCATTAGATTGAAGTTCTAAGGACGAGTTAATCTATTTATTAAATGAAATTTTGTGTTGTGTTTAAAATAAAATTTAGACCACAATAAATTCGAGAAAAACCGATTAAATTTATTTTATTAGTTTATTATTTATTATTAGTTAGTATTTATTAATTACCAACATTTATGGATCATGCAAATTTCTTCTTACAGTTTGGAAATAAAATTATAAAATTACATAGTTTGGGTATATTATGGTAAATTTAAATGGCTAAAAATAATTTTGGTAAGTATATGAGCTGATAAAATTAGCATTTATATTATAAATGCTTGCATTTTGTAATTAATAGGAAGAATTCCTTAAAGTACTTCATAGTAGGAGTAAGATGTTATGTAACTCAATTTCCTAATAACTCAATCTTATTACTGAAAATTGGTCATACAATCAGTCCTTACTATGATAGACTATTCGGACAAAAAACACTTTGTTTAAATATGCCTACTTGCAAACTTTCTAATAAATGCAAAATTTATTTGATTTTGAGTATTATATTACTGGTTTCATTGCCATTATTCTACGAATTATTAAATAATCTGTCTAACATTCATGCTTCATATGCATCCATGCATTTCCCTCCAAATGACAAACCATCTCAATATCTCATATGGCTCAATGCGAGCTAGCTGGAGGCGCGTTAGTTGCAGCCTGAAAGTGCTAAAGAGAAGCTTAAAAGTTTTCCAGGGTTCCTAACTAAGGAAATTTACACGATCCTTCATGTAGGATTTTATATCAGGTCAACCATCATTTTTCTAAGTGTGATCTTTACATCCCTAGGGTTAATCTACGGCCATTATAAAGAATCTTGAATGCAGATACGAGTGCTTATTTTATATTTTAATAAAATTCAAAGAAGCATTGCGATTTTCTAAAATATATCCTATATGATGCATCATATCAAGAAAATGAATATCTGAGCGCTATAAATAAGTTTAGTTAAATCTTAAAATGAGGTTATACTTAAGAGTGGGATAATTAGTACTGACGCATGACGCGAATTTTTTAATTGAAATGATTGAACAATATTGTCAAGTGTAGAATAAATTACAAATTTATTATAGAAGTGTATTAAGAATATGATAATAAAAGCTATCTTATTATACCTAAGAAATATCAAAATTATGGGAATAAGACTCGAAACTAACCATTTGTTTTATTTCTTAAGTTTTACTTTTGAAATTTCTTTATAAACCACTAATGAATCTCTCATTTATATTACTTTG